ACATTGGCACCTCCATATTCTCTTGTAGCCAAGCCTACGTGGCGCTGTCACGAGTAACAAATCTTCATGGGGTGCACCTCATAAATGTTGAATTCAAGAGTATAAAAGCTCAAGCTTCAGCTATCACAGAATACAACCGGCTTAGGCGTAAATACCGCGCCGATCTTTCAGAAATTAAACCGTCTAAAAGAATAAATAAAGAACGCGAATGGGCAATAGGTTTTCGTATTGCCCATTCGCGTTCTTTATTTATTTGTTAGTTGCTAATGTTCAAGAATCAGAACCGGAAAAAAGAAAAGAAAGATTTGTAATAATAAAAAGACTACTTCTAAAAAGAAAAAAACATGTGTCAAATAAGAAAATCTAATAAAATAAATCAATATGCCCACGTTTCAACAAAAAGAAGTGAAATCCCACCAAAAACATTCTGTAAAGAACTAGTCAAGTCTCGATGGAGCTGCTTGTTTATCTCTAAAAAGTAATGAAATCTAAACACAGTCGTGCCAAGTCTAAGGTTCCTTACTGCGATTTCTTTATTTCATTTTTTCTTTATTAGTATAGTTAATGTTGTGTGACTTGGCCGTTTAAGGGTACACAAGGGTACAAAACCAGCGCCAGAGCTATCCTGGACTATAAAATAATCACTCTGAAAATGTTTCTCACTCATCCGTAGCTTCGTTTACGAATGCTTAGAGTAAGCCCCCAGAGTCTGCGATAAGGTCTTCATATTTTCAGCCTTCTATTAAAACTTTGCAAATTTCCATTCAATAAGTGTTTCCAACGCTTCAAAGGAATCGATCGGACTTTGAGAGTTAAAGAGATATGAAGAAAAGACTGATCGAAGTTGTTTATATAACATAAAAACAAATCTATTTTGTAAAGATCGATAAAATAAATCATTTTTTTTATTACACTGTGGTATTAATATCCACAACTATATTATCATTTTCACTAGATGCAAATGTGCTCAGACAATTATTATAGATGGTAGGCGACATCATAAAGTCTATGGGTGCGGCCAGAGTGCACTCAGATTCAGATTCAGATTCAGATTCTGAAAACAAGCGCGAGAAATAAACAGTGTAGTCGAAGGGTACGGCCAGAGTGCACTCCTGATTCAGATTCAGACTCAGAAAACAAAGCGCGAGAAAAAGCAAGCAACCTGCTTAGACTACACTGTTTATTTCTCGCGCTTGTTTTCTGAATCTGAATCTGAATCTGAGTGCACTCTGGCCGCACCCTATTGCCATACATTTTTCGCCAAACACCTCCATAAACGCATTTTAATCTGTATATATGTTAGACTTTAAGGTATCTATCTATCTATGGGCCTACATTCCCTACGGCGTACTTCCATAAATTAACAAAATTATAAGGTGTGATACACTAAAAATCTAAAATATGGTTATATTAACAACATAACAAAAATAATGAAGCTACTTCTCTTAGCTTTCTTTGGTTAACGAGAGTTTAAAAATCTCTCTAATCTGTGGCTCATTCACAATCATCACACAGTTTCTGTCACAGAGTACCTACCTTATTATAACCGGAAATGACACCTGATTTTAAAAGTTGCTCTTAAGCATTAACTTTAAAAACAGGCAACTATCTGTAAATCTACATGCTCTATATACCTGAATATAATCCATAATTTCGGTACTTGGTTTGATTTCCCTAGTTTACTATATAACTTATTTGTTTTTTATTATTTTAATATGTTCAGTGTATTTGGTTTATAGAAGTTCTCAGGGGTGTCCGTCAATAATATTCGTTTCTACAGTAATTTATATATAATTTCGAATCCAGGAAACAATTTTTCATGATTATTGATCTTTAGGCCGAACATGTATGGAAGCTGAGCAATCTCCTTTAATAATGAAGCGCCAACGCTTTTTCAATTATATATATATTGGTTTTTTTTGGGCTTTTTAGAGCATTAAATAAAAACGTGTTTTTAGTTTTGTAAAATATTAATTTATTCTAGTCTTTTTAGTTTCAGTCATCAGAAAAAATGAGCAGAACATGTTAAGACGAATCAAATGAGCCCAAACTCAACATGTAGGCAGTCCAAGGTTCCATCAGCCACCTTCCAGTCCCAGCATCAGACCAGCTCGGTGGTACCATAATATTGTAGTGTCATCTAATCTACATATAATTGCAAATTTCATGTTTTTCGATAATATAATACAAGAATTAGAAGTGCGTGTAATTCAGATTCTTAGATACCATTACATTCTGAGTTACATACAGGCCGAATAAAAGCTTGTTAATTAAACAGATGCTGCCTGGCCCGTGTAGATTTTTTTCTAGCAGCATCTAACAGTTAAATACAAAAAAAAACTATAATTGCTATATCTTGTTTCAAATGTTTACTACTTGGTAAGGAATTAATTTGACATTATGCGAAAAGATGGCGCTGCCTTGCAGCCTAAGAGAGGCTAGAGAAAATTCGACATGGCTATGAGGGCTACGGTAGCATAAAGGTCGATACATTCGCCCGGATAGCGAAGGGTGCAGGTTCGAGTCCCGTCTGCTGACTGGTCCGCGTGAAATTGTTTCTAGTAAAATTTTCTTTAAATTTAAACATCTGCGTTATAAATGAATCTTGCTGGGGATCTCTTTGCTCCGATCCGTCGTTTCTGAAATGACTTTAATTAAACTTCTCTAGAGTTTTTCGGTGTACGAGTAATTTCAATATATTAGAAAATCCCGAATAATTCATTGAGCATTGTTTAAAAACTCAGTGGCAAAGTTCCCTAAATTTAATTTTACGCATTTTTTTACAGGCGATAAAAAAGATAAAATATCGCCTTAAAATTAATAAAAAATACTTGAACAAATCAAAATGATACCAAACCGTCTAATTATTGATGTTGATTGCATATTATAAATTCATTACTTACAAATGAAACTTTGAATGGTTCGGATGAGATAACCTAACTAAAACGCAAATTAATCGAATACTATATATTTGAAAAGCTCAACTTTTTTAAGGTAGCAGATCTTTTTAATTGCAAGTCAAATTGATTACGTATTTGACTTTCCATATTATTAAAGCAATCTTAAAAATCTACCTGAATTAATACACTGAATTATTATTTTCATAAACTAGAAATTTAAAAACCGATTTCAAACTTATGAATACAGGAAATTTTAATTTAAATATGATTAATAGTGATTTTACGTGTTGCAATTAAAGTTAAATCAACCAAAAAGCATTCCGATGTTTATGGCTATGCACGTTCAGTAAATGTATCTGTCTCCAGTTAAGGTTTCTGGGTTAATAGTTGTTCTGTGGAAATGAAAGTATTTAAAACGATAAAATGTATTTCACCCGCCTTCTCCTCCTGAAACTATCATTTCGTAGACGTTACGGTGAAAGATAAAAGTCCTTTGTGCTGTTTTCAACTTTTCGTTGGGAATTCAGAAGAAACAAAATGTCTCTAAATTAATGGAAGTTATATTGATATCTAACATCTGTGAACAGCAAATTAGTAACTGATATCGTACATTGAAAATTTATTAAAGAGGGGTAAATAAAATGCCCTCTAAAATTATTTGGTGTATTTTATCTGCTACAATGGTCCATCACTACTACTGCACTACTTCTATACAAATTGAAACCGCGCATAATAATAAAACTGACTTCATAATCGGATGCATAAATAAAATAATCAAGACAAATTTCTTATACACTCCAACGATTCTATTAGTTAATCAAGATAAATGGGATACCACAGATACTTATAAGTTTTATGATAGGCTCATAGACATAACAGTTAACATACCAACATTAAAAGATATTACTTCAGATGTATACGAAATGTATGTTATGAAAGACCATTTTCTCTCCATATCATATTACCATGATTGTGAAAAATTATTGGAAGTACCAATCGACTCCGTCAATCCAGTAGTAAAACATATAATGGTTATTTTCAATTCTTCAAAAGAATGCACAACACTGCTAAATAATGTTATATCTCACTACCTCAGTAAATATGATATAACTTTTCTAAAGTTAAAAGAAGATGGTAATTATGATATTGTAACTTATATACCGGAGCTAAATCCTATCTATTGTAAAATGAACTATACCGTATCAGACACTAAGATAGCCACTTGCGATTCCTTAAAGAAGGTCAACATTTTTCCAAATAAAGAACCTCAAGATTTAATGGGATGTGTCTTTAAAGTCGGTATGGCAACATTTGTCCCATTTTCGAAGATTAAAGATAGCAAATCAATGCAAATAATGGATCCAATCGAAGAAAAGGATATCAGAGGATGTGACGTGGAAATCATGAAAATAATGTCACAATATTTCAATTTTACGCTGCAATATTATTTTATATTTGACAGTGAAATCCAAGGTCATTCTCAACTAGCATTTTTGGATTTTCTGCTTAACGGTACTTTGGACGCTTGTGCAGGTGGACTTTTTAGAGTGTATGGTGATGTTGTTGAATATTCAGGTGTTTACGGTAAACAAGCATTAGTTTGGATGTACACTGCTAAACGAAGAAACAGGTCTTGGCAAAACCTGGTTGCTAAAGTCGGTAGCTTATATGCATTCATTGTGTCCTATATCATCTTTTCCCTTGCATCATATTTACTTACTATATTTGACAGAAGACGCGTATCACTCAGCAACACGATGTTGTACAATTGGGGTGCACTCATGGGTGCTTCTTCATTATATAAAGCAAAAACATTCAAGCACAGGATTATGAACTATTTCTACTTAACTCTATGCACACATCTCGCTGTTTATGCTAACATACACATGTATTCTTTTTTAACTGTCATCAGTCCACCAAGTACATATAAAACTATCGACGAGATATATGGATCAAATTTAAAGCCGTACTTGGATCAGAAAAACAAATTTTTTTTCAGTGATAAACAATTCGACATGTTTTCTAATACATCAAAAAATTGTGTATTTTTTGTAGATTGTGAATTACAAAGTTTTAAACATAATGGAATTACAATTGTAGACGATGCTCAATTCACGTTGTTTCAAGCTGAAACTATAGTGGATGGAGAAGCTACGGTGTTAAAGGTGCCACAGAACATGGTGACTGCCTACCATGAAATTTTGATTCGAAAGAATCTCACCATCACAAATAGTTTTCAAAAACTTATGACTAGGCTCGGGGAAGCTGGCATAAGTGATCGACTGTACCACGAAGGTTTGGGAATATTAACAGAAGCGAAAGTGCTTAGTGCGACAAAAAATATTATGAGTTACAGCTACAATTGTAAAGGTGGATGTAGTATTACACTGATACAGTGCGCAGGAGCATTCTATGTTTGGATGTTTGGGTGTGTCTTGTCTTTTTGTGTTTTTATAGTGGAGATTACAGTAAAAATGAAACAAGGCCGCCAAATATAATTATTATGTATAAATTTGTCAAAGGCACTTACGTTTTATTTGGGATATCGCACAACATCGTGTTTGTGTTGTTGTTATTTGACGAACACTAATTTAAAAGAATAAAAGGTCGGTGTGAAATAAATGCATTATTAATTTAGTAGAATAATAAGGTTAATCAAACATCTTTAAAAAATTGTAACTCAGAGGAATATTTTCATTATGGTTGCACTTAAATTAAAAACTCGTGGAGTGCCGCCGTTGCCAACTTGCTAAAGCTTTTTCAAGAACCTTAACTATTTGTAATAGAATGTTAGACTATACAAGTATAAAGAATTAAATAATATTTCAAGTCCATGATAAAGGACATTGGGAAAAAATGTATGGATGTTGCACCCACGTCCGCCACGGCTTGAAATGCATTTGTTGGAAAGGCATTATAGTCATGATCATCTGTGCTAAAGCGCATCAAATTCCATCCCGGGGGTCTTTAGTTATTTTAAGTTAAATAGGTACAAGTACTATATTGAACGAAAATAATAGAAACAAGGGCATTAATTTAGTTAGTTAGTTCGGCTGTACATTTAGGGCCCAGGCACAATACATACAAGAGCAGTTCAATAGCGTAACTCAGCCGTTTTCTTGAAATAGATACCTACGACTGAGCGGAGCGCTAGGGTTGGTACCTACAAAATGTAAAACATATTTGTGTAGATTTTTATTGTATGATATGTATAGTTACTATTGCCACGTTACGGAATCGAAACGAACGCAGACGGCGCGGCGCAGCTAACTTAACTCGGCCAACGACCAGTCTCGGCGGCGCGTGACGTGGGACTGCATAGATTTTTCTTGGCAATATCGGTTAGCGGCCGTGTAAATGTCGTTTGTCTGAGTGCGTGCGTCGATTCGGGCGCTAGTATGAAGTCGGAGTACTGCTCTTGCATGTATTGTGGCTCAAGTATTATGGGAGTACTTCACAAGGTGCAAGGGTGATCCCCCATGTTATTCTGCCGCGCTAAAGTAAATCCAAAAATCCCCGCATACGTTGGGGCTTTTTCAAACAGTCTGTTCGTTATAGTAAATTGTCTTCTTTGTAAAACGGAGCGACCACACATCACACAAACTTGTCCACGCTTCAGTGACAACATGATTCCAGTTCATCCATACTAATTGACAAAGCCGATAATCGTGTTTCAATTTCCAAAGCGTGTTAGATAAAAATCAATCAAGTGACAGGGCATGCACAATCACAACGAAGTAAGACGAGTCGACTATTTGCAACTGCAAGTACTTCAACCGTTTTATGGTGGCTCAGTAAGTGCAAACGCAGGATGGTCGGCAGGCTTTGTCGTATATCTACATGTATAGGAGTACGACATATGACATCTTATTATGGTTACTAATATTATAAGATGAAGGTACTATAAAATTTATTTATTTAGCTACTTAAATATGCCCATGTGTCATATCTTTTGACTACCAGGATATTTTTTTAAGGTGTCATAATAAAAAGGCTAGTTCTTCATAGATCTACCGATTCATACTAATTAGATCATTGCTGGCAGAGCTGGGTGTGTTTTGCCCATTGTCCTTTTAATTTCTTAATTGTCATTATAAATTAAAATTTTAAAGGATATTTTTAAATGCACAGCAAATAACTTAGTACCCATTAAGTCATTTACAGGAATTAAATTATTGTTGTTTTTATTTATTTTTTAAGCATTTAACTGCTAGATGTTTAAATCTAAAGAAAAGTTTACTAGAAAAAAATCCACGCGGACCAGGCAATCCGGGCGAATGCACTGACCATTTTTTTTTTTTTTTTTTTTATAGTTAGGTCCGACAAATGACTCCACCCCACCTGATGTTAAGTGAAGGTGAAGTCCAGACGCGAAGATAGCTGATACAGCAGTTCTACCTGCCACACCAGCCATCCTCACCCTGCCGGCCTGCACGTTGCTTCTTCACGCCTCTTTTAAAGGATCCCAGGTTGTAAGAGGGAGGGAACACGTGAGCGGGCAGAGCATTCCATTTACGGATAGTGCGACAAAGAAATGAGTCACCAAATTTCTTTGTACGCGTTGGAATTGTGGCCACAGTAAGACGGTGACAACGTAGGCCAGCGCTCGTGGTCCTCTGAAGGAAAGGGGAAGGTGGGATAAGAGAGAATAACTCCTCAGAACACTCGCCGTGGTACAAACGATAGAACGCGCATCGTGACGCCACGTCACGGCGTAATTGAAGAGGCTCAAGGTGTTTAGTCACCTCTTCATCACCTATGATGCGGATCGCGCGCCGCTGTAACCTATCCAAAGCATCGAGCAAGTACTTGGCGGAGCCATCCCAGAGGTGCGAGCAATATTCCACGCAGGACCGCACTTGCGTTTTGTACAACAAGCACAGTTGATCGGGCGTGAAAAAACGCCGCACCTTGTTCAGGACTCCGAGTTTGCGTGAAGCTGTTTTGATCACGGTTTCGATGTAGTCCTTTGGATTCAGGTCTGAGCGAACTTCCATACTGAGCATGGAAATGTTGCTCTGCAGCGGTAGTGTTGTGCCCTGAAGAGATGGAAGGGGAAGGAATGGCGATGTTTTTGCCGTGAAAGCGCAAGCCTGAGTTTTCTTGGCATTGAACCCAACCAAGTTCCTGGTACCCCATTCGGAAATGTGGTCCAAAGCCTGACGTTCAATGACAAGATTTTCCCGTTTCTCCCTGGTTACTGCCTGCCCAGCCGCTGCTTGTCCGAGATACCCCGCATGCACTGTACTATCGTCTGCATAGCAATGAATATTCCCAAGAGGAATCAAGTCATTGATATGCAGCAGAAAGAGAGTGGGGGATAGGACGGAGCCCTGGGGAACGCCGGCATTCACTGACATGAACCGCGAACTGCTACCATCCGTAAGGACACGAATTCTACGCTCATGCAGGAAGTCAGCTACCCAAGAACAGAACTGGGCTGGCAGACCGTATGCCGAAAGCTTGGAGAGAAGGCTTTTGTGCCAGACCCTGTCGAACGCCTTGGCAATGTCAAGGCTGATAGCCAACGACTCGCCACGCTTGTCGATAGCCTCACCCCAGATATGAGTTAAGTACGCTAGAAGATCACCCGTCGATCGTTTCGGTCTAAATCCATATTGACGATCATTAATCAGGGAGTGATCCTCTAGGTAGCGGGTCAGATGGTTATTAAGGACCTTTTCTAGAACTTTACATAAAACTGAGGTGACTGCTATTGGCCGATAGTTTGCCGGGTCTGAGCGATCCCCTTTTTTGGGCACCGGTTGCACGTTAGCATCTCTCCAAGTCTCCGGCACACGCCCCAAAGAATACGAGCATTGGTACAAGCGCGTGAGCACGGGAGACAACTCCGCTGCACATTTTTTAAGTACTACTGCTGGGATGCCATCAGGTCCACTAGCTTTCCGGACGTCGAGTGATTGCAATTCGGCAAGAACCTCACGCTGCCTGATTTTAATATCAGGCATCGTTGTGCCACAGTGAGGTAATGATGGTGGCAGTGCATTGCAATCATCGATTCGGGAGTTAGCCGCAAAGAGTTTTGCCAGTAAATCGGCTTTCTCCTGCGGCTTATGAGCTAGTGTTCCGTCTGGGCATCTCAGAGGTGGCAGCGAGGGCTGGCAGAAGTTTTTTTGCACGGCCTTGGCCAAACGCCAGTAGCTACGGGAGCCCGCAGGATGCGTTATAAGTTCTTGGCCAACACGTGCAACACGCTGGGCATCCGCTCTGATGTAAGCCTTCTTACAGGCCTTGGAAGCAGAATTGTAGGCTGCTCTGAGTGAATCGACACCGGGATCCTTGAGAGCGCGGCCTCTGATCCAAGCACGATATGCCGCTTGCTTACGCGAAGCAGCTTCAGCACAGTCGTGATTAAACCAGAGGTTACGTGTGCCCTTACTGATGAGATCAGAATGAGGAATATAGTATTCCATACCCATTATGATCTCCTCAGTAATGGCAACGGCACTGCCCGATAGGTCCCTGTCACTGAAGCAGCGCTGCTTCCAAGGGACGGACGCAAAGTAATCACGCATACCGTCCCAATCTGCCGACCCATAATGCCAGATACGGCGCTTGACCACTGCTGGACGCGGAGGCTTGGCCTGTGGTGCTTTGGCAGATATCAGGCAGTGGTCGGACGAGCCCAGGGGGGCTCTTACCACAACCTGATAGCCCTGTGGATGGGTCGTGAGCAGAAGGTCCAGTAAAGAAGGCGCTTGATTTGGAATATCTGGGATCCTGGTGGGCTGATCAACCAGTTGCTTCAAGTCATGCGTGAGAGCGAATGTGTGAGCAGAGATCCCTGCATGGTCAGTTTTGGAAGAACTTAACCACAAATTGTGGTGAGCATTAAAGTCCCCCAAAAACACCAATTCTGCATTGGGAAATCGCTCCTGCGCGTCATCTGCTGCCCGACTAAGGTGTTCAAAAAGTCGAGTTGTCTCAACATCGCCGGTGTGGGATCTGTAGAGGCACACGTAGACTCTGGCCCGGGGGCCAGAGTCGACGTGTACCCCCAGCATGGAGAAGGAGGGATCTTCCAAGCAGCGGAGACGGCGACAACAAACATCCGCCCGAACATACAGGCATACACCGGCTTTCGCTTTGAAGGACTCTTCAAGCACGTAGCCGGGATAATTAAGGTAGCCGGTGTCAGCAGGCGGAAGTATTTGTGTCTCCGTCAGGAACAACAATGCTGGCCGTGCTGTCTCGAGATGGTGGTGGACAGCGTTGAGGTTAGAGTGGAGTCCGCGTATGTTGCAGAACTCGACCTCAAACAGCGTTGAAGGCGTGGGGGTGTGCACCGCTGTACGTCCAAACTTTGT